TCAAGGTATATTGTGGGTCCTTACCACAAGCCCATACCATATAACCTGAAGCACAGCTGCTGTCCATAAACCAGAAATTGAGCACAATCTACCGTGTCCAATGGCACTGTGTCTCATCTTCCAAAGGTGGTATTAATCGTGATCTGGACATTTTTGTATTACTTGGAGGTAATTTTTTTTGGCTTTCCTATTTGATTGTGTTACAGTTATTTCAAGACCTCTGTTACGCTCCAGCTCATTCAGTGTTTGTCTCAGAGAAGCCGGAAGGGTCAGAGCAGGCAGTTTTAATTTAAATCTTGGAATTTTCCTGCAATAAATGAAATAACCACACTACAGATAAGGCTTCACTACAAACCTCTCCTTCAGCTGTGCAGTCATTGATTTTGGGGGCTCAACTCGTCCTTGGCCCAGCACATTGGGAAAGATGCTTCTGGACAGCTAACTACGCCTGGTGGCAGATTGTCCCACGCTGGTACGGTTTAAATAAGGAACAAGGACAGCAACTCCACCATGGGCTCATGTGAACAGTCTCAGGAAAATAAACCTCCAAGTGAGCAAAGCCAGCTGTAGCCATGGGGGAGGCAGGAGCCAGGAGCATTGCAAGAGCGAGCATATATGGCAAGATCAGGCCAGCCTCACACACCTTAGGGCATGAGCCTGAGGAGTTCAGTACTGACATGGCAAATCAATTCCATAGTTATTTCTATAAAAATTTCTAATAATATGAATAATACATTCTTATTTATTCTGTTCAATTGCAGATTCTTCTCCTGTTTAGTGTCATTTTGCATATTTGGAATGGAATCATGTCCTCTTTTTTTAGGACACAAGAGTTTGGAAAACAGTACTACACATTCTGCACCAAAGCATATGTGCAAGACTCCTGAGAAGTATATGGTCAACTCATGTTTCGTGATATCAGTTTATTTTCAGCTATAATTCACACGATTTCCCAGAAAAAAGGGAAGCGTTACCCTCAGTATATGGTGCTAGAGCATCCTATTAAAGGACTTTACCCCTGTGGCATGTGTCTTCATAACTCTTTGTGAAAGTAAAAGGTACTGTCACCACCTGCACCAAGTGGTCTATCATATTCAGATGCTTCTTTCAAGCTCTCAGTATATGTTATTTCAAACGTGCACATTTACTTTAATCATCTGATTCATTTATTTTTAATGCTGCGGCAGTAACACTGATGTCAGTGGAATGGTTTCTGGCTGTATAGACATAAAGGGGAAGAAGAACAGGGACCTGAGGTTACAACCAGTTTGCTGAGAAAAGCCAAGGGTAGGAGTCAGTTGAGGAAATGGTGCTTGGTTCTTGAGGTACGTGAGGCTAGGGCTCCATTTTGGGATGAAGCTGAAGTAGGGGATAAGTCTCAGAACTGAAAGTGCATGAAGTAGTTGAGATTTTAGCAGAGCTTGACAGGTATCTCCCAGCACTGCATCTCTAAATGGAAGAAATCTTGTAACAAGCCTTCTCTCTGGGAGATTTCCACTGTTCTGAGTAAGAAGTAAGGGATCCTTCAGGCCGAGAAGCGAAACTACAGAGATCCAAGGCTTCAAAAGTTGATGGATTTCCCAACTTTCTCATGAACCATGTAGTATCTGCTATTGAGTTTCCACCATACCTGCTGCTGCGACCAGGCTTTAGGCTTCCTGTCCCTGGAGGAATTGTGACCAAAGATGAAGAACCAGAAAAAAAAAATAATAAAACCAGTCTCTTCATTCTCCTATTTCACGATTCTAAGGGCTACTTCACAGAACAGGTGAAACTTCCCCACGAAAAAAATGGAAATAGGTTTCATTTCTTGACCCTCTTACCTAGTGGGTTCTTCAGGGGATTTCCTTTTAAAAGAAAATCACAGTTAAACCCGGTGTTCCCCTCAGAAAACTATACTTCCCTAAATATTTCATCAAATGTCAACAAAGCAGATCTGACATGGGGAAAAGAAAGAGAAAAAAAATGATCCACCGTTATTTGTCAGTGCAATAGTAGGAAACTTCCTTTTTTTTTGTAGTTCATTGAATGGCCATCTATATATGGACCTAAGGGGCTGGGCAGCACCTCCATACCGTCATTATGATACTGAGGAAAACCCTTTCAGATACTATCTGAGAAGTAGGAAAGGATAAGAATGGATTTTTACGAACAGCTGAGCAGCAAAACTTGCTGTTTAAAGCTGCATATGGTAAAAGTAAGAGACGGACATCACTGTAGAGATGGCACAGAGCCATCGTGTCACCTCTAAGAATACACATCCTTCTTTGTGAAGCTGAGATTGCACTGAGTCCTCAGGAGAAGGACAAGAAGCAGCTGGCAAGGTCCTACAAAATACTAAGCTGGAATGGGTTGCAACTTGAATTTTAACTGGAAGGGAGGATCTCTGTAAAATCTGAACTATATATGTCAAGGCAAATTCAGCTTTCAGTTTACATCTGAATGCATCAGGTCTGTGGAGTCTAACGAGCTGAACCGAGGTGAAAGGGAGGAGAACTTGTTCCCACTTCTTCAAACCCTTTAGGAGTCATCAGCTCTCAGAAAGGGACAAACAGCTCTTTGTGGGATACATTACACAGATCGTTGCTTATGTGTCAACTCAGAAAGGAAATACTAGGAACAGGCCAACAAAACCAGAGCTGCTTGTCCCCAGTACAGCTGGGAAGGGGGATTCTTGAATGGCAGGGGAATTACAGCTGCTCCTTTTGAAGGGGACCAGCTCTACTCCATTTCATGCAGACTCAAAGAGCAGGTAGCTATCAGGAGGATCCGCCTCCCTGTTTGCGATGTTCAGTGGCAAGCTGAAGCCTCCTTTTGGCAAGCACAGAAGAACTGAAGAGGGATTTTCTGAAGTTAAAGCCTAGATGCCTTTAAAAACCCTGCCAGTCTATAGTGGTCCTCAGGCTATGCAGCTGGTGTGCTGTACACCCTCTCAGGAGGGTGTAACGATGAACTTTCAACAGATTTGCGTTCCGCTGCGGGAGAACATCTCTGGGGGCACTCCGAGGTCTCTTACTCTGATATATACAGAATACCAGGAAAGAGGGAAGGGCAGGTGTACCAGGGTACTTAGCAAGGAAACTCAGATTCTAGCCTTAATTCTTTTAAAGCTCTCGGACAACATATAATTTTATTTCCTAAGAAAGTTTAGAAAGCAGTTGGAATAATGCAAAGGCGATAAATCAAAGCTAATGTATTAGGTTACTCTGAGACCCAGAAGATTTACCATCTCCCCTTGTGGCAGATATAGTGCTTTGGCTTTACTAACGGGAGTTAATTCGATTTCTTCTGAACTCAAAATCCAGGCTACTTACTCTAAATGAGAAAGGAAGCAAAAACATGACTGTTTCTGTGCCCAGTGTGTTCCTGTCAAAATGGTGCAGGATGGAGAATTGAGAGGCTTTCTACAGCTCAACACTGACAGAACTCAAGCTAAAAATAATGTGAATTATTAATGCACCAGCCTCACAGCCTCACAGCCGCAGGGATTACTGCACATGTGATGGCAGTTCTCCTGCTTTTTGAACGAGAGCTAGTTTTTAGTTACCTTCCTCCACTTACTTTGCAACGTGTAGGAAAGTGGTGGAAACTGATTTAATTCTTGTTCCTACCAGAAAGCTGTGTCTCTGAACACATCCTTTGTGTTAAGTCAGTGATAAATTAGAAATAGCAAGTGAGTAAGTTTGAAAAACATGGCAGAAAAGTCTTTCTAGCTAGGCTGGCTTACAGTGAAATTTTTGTACTACATTTTACTTTGCCTCAAAGAAATCAGATTTTATGGCACAGGACACAAGAAGTAACATTTCTATAAGTGACATTTTTTGAATGGCAGGATTCAATTTTTTAACTTTTATCCAAAGGAAAACTTGAATCATGAAAAACCAATTCCCCACCACGCAAAACCTAAGCCGTAGGTCAACCTCAAATAGCTAAATAAAGAAAAAAGTTTCCCCACCCTGTAGCTAACCCTTGCCCTTGAATTCTTAATCTGGACACCTGAAGTTGTGGCAAAAGGTTTGCTATTCCTGCCCTCATGCAGCAGCACTGAACCTGTGCAGCATCTCTGCAAATGTGTGCTCCAAGGTGCACGCAGATGAGAGAGAAAGCTTTCCTGGGGGGGATGCAGCAGCCAGGCTGCGCGCTGTGCAGAAGAAATGTTGCAACAGCCTGTGGTCTGTGCTTGAGATTAGAGCAGATTAAGAGATTCACTTGTCCCTCTGGCTTTAAAGTCTGTTTACGATGCAGAGGTATGCAAAGAAACATATGAGAAGGAAAATATTCACTTGAGCAGCTGTCAAGGGGGAAGAAATAAGCCGCAACATTGGTCAGTGGAAACACAAGCGTTTTAGCAGAGAGTAAAACATACGCCCTGGGGAGCTGGCTTTGAGGTAGAACTCAGTGACAGAGGGTTTGGATGCGTTTGTATAAATAAATAGTGTGAAGTTATTTTGATGAACTCATTCAAGTGCTTGTTTCTGTGACTATCCTATGATTCCCGTGTTTACAAATATCTCTTGGAAAGTGGAAATCATATGCCTTACAGATCCATTTACACCGAGGGCTGCATCAGATGTGGCTGACTGTGAACTGGGAATGTAGCAGATGTCAGATGCCTGGTGGGCCCCAAATTCAGTGGCAGAAGTAGAGACAGAGTCAGTGAGTTAGCAAGGCTTAGTCTGTCAGTGCCTTGCACTTTGCTCAGGACTTCTACCTGGTGAGAGGCAGCTCCTCTGGCTTGATCAAAGCACTGGCCTGCTCATCTGGGGGTGCTTTATTTTCCTGTTGTGAGTCTGTAAATTATAACACAAGGTGCAGAACCACAGGGGAGCTGAGGTAAAGCAGCTGCAGGAAATATTAACTGAACTACACCATAAAAACAAGATCTGTTGCTTCTCACAAGAGGAATCTGCTCATTGCAGGCGAGATTACATAAATACTGGCGATCACAAGAGGATTCAGTACAATAATCAGAGCAAGACCAAAAAATGTAAAGAACTCACTTGATTTTTCTTCTTTGATGTTGTACTCCAGCACACCAGGAGCCTCATTCTGCACTGGCAGGCGGACTGCAAGGACCATGTTGTTCACGGTACCCTCTTTCCTCACCAAGAATATCTGAAATGGAAGAATGGAATCAAGAGCTTAGCTACATTATGTGAGCTTCTGAACTTTAATTTAGGTCATTGGCAATGAAGTTTTTTATCAGTACAATCCACTTTTAAATGATCTTATTTTAGTTTCGTTCCACTTGGTTGAACTTTACATGACAAAAATAGTGAATAAAGGGACATTTCATCTGGGTGAAATTCAGACCTGTGAAGGAACCAGCAAAACTTCTATTTGTCAGTGATGACCCACTTAAGCCTAAGGCAAACTGTTTCACTAACTGAAGTGTATAAAGCTGCACTCACAATTTATCAAATGATGCTCCTCACATAAGTGCCCTAAACCACAGACAATTCATCCTAGAATGTCCCAGTTAGGGTCTAAAGCAAGGGGGTCGCTTGACATGAGAGGAGAAGGATTCAAGTGTCCATGAGTGGAATATAAGGCCAAAGGCTCTGGTGGCCACAGTGTCTCATGGCAGAGTTTTTTCATGGGATCAGAAGATCACTCAGGCTGGCAGGGACCCCAGGAGGGCTCTTGTCCAACCCCCTGTGTGAAACCATGATGCCAGACGAAGTTGCTCAGGGCTTTGTCCAGACAGGTCTGGAGAACCTCCAAGGATGGAGACTGCACAACCTCTCCAGACAACTTGTCCCACCACTCAGTGCCCTCAGAGGGACGTGTTTCCCTGTACCCAGTCTGAACCCCTCTAGTTTCAATGTACGCCTGTCACCTCTTGCCCTCCCACCATGAGAGCAGAGCCTGTCTCCATCTTCTCCATGACCTCCCTGTAGGAACCGGGGAATGGCTATGCAGTCCCTCTGAAGCTGTCTCTACTCCTGGTTGAACAAACCCTGGTCCCACAGCTTCTCCTCAGTAGGTCTGTGCTCTTCTTGCTGCCCACCACACCCACAGAGGCCTTCCCACAGAGCTGCCCAGCCAGGCACTGCCAGCCCGGATTGCTGCCGGGGGTCTGCCTTCCCAGGGGCAGCACTTCGCCTTTGCCGTTGTTGAATTTCTGAAGGTTCCTACCAGCCCTGTCCCCCAGCTCCTCTAAGATCCCTCTGGATGGCAGCACTGACTTCAAGTGTATTGACTGGTCCTGAAATCACAGAGCAGATGTGGTTGGAAGGAACTCTGGAGATCATCTAGTCTAACCCCCATGCTCAAAGCTGACGGACTACAGCAAGTCACTCAGGACTGTGTCTTGTTGCGTTTTTTATTATCTCCAAGGATGGATGCTCTACAGCCTTTTGGGCAACCTGTTCCAAAGTTCCGTCATCCTGACAGTAAAAAAGCTTTTCTTAATGTTTAAACAAAATCTCCTGAATTTATGCCCACTGCGCCTCATCCTTTTGCTAGATACATCTGAGGATGGTCTAGCTCAATCTTCTGTACTCCCTCCTATCAGGTGTTCATACACATTGATGAGAGGGCCCTGAGTCTTTAGTTGGAACCAGTGGAACC